TAGAATATGGTAGTAAATTAAATAAATAAATGGAAATAAACAAATTTAATTTCCTAAGTAATAAAGTGAATTAATATTTATAAATTTTTTCTCTATTATTTAGAAATTAAATTATTTCCATTTTAAAATATTTTAATACGAAAATTTGTTATATAAGCTACTCTAGAGCGTTTAAAATTTGATGTAGAATAATTTATGTACAGTACATACTTGTTTATGTATTATATAAAACTATATATTTAATATATGGTTATATAAATAAATTAGTATATATTAAATTCAGAAGTCATTAATTGTAAATGATATAAAGTTTCATACTAATCTTGTAAATTTAGTTATCATACTGATAACAATGATAAAGGTTTAGTTTTAACTTGTTTTAAAATTAATTTTGAAATATCTTTACTAATTGCAATATTATTCTAAATCCTTGTAAAGATTTTAAGCTGACTAAACTACTGTTTCCAAGTTACAAATAATCATACAACCACTTGCTCATCCAATTAGTTTAATTTCCTGTTGCAATCTGTGATAGTTACATCAACGAAAATTTATAAAATTCAATTTGAATTAGAAAACTTTAATAATAATTTGTTAACACTTCCAAAACATTAATATAAATATACTTAGAAGTTATTTCTTCACACTTTATGAGTATTATTTATGTATACTTTAGCCATGAGCAATTATCCATAGATTCGTTGTACAGAAGAGAAGATGCGATTTCAAATGCCCTTATATAATATATAAAGAATCTATAGTTGGAAATAACAGAAGAGTAAGATGTGAAATTTATGGCTTAATCAACAAAACAAAATGCCAAATTTTATATATATTATACATATATAAATAATATGCAGTAGGAATGACTTAAGGACAGGAAATATCAAATGCATATGAGCTGCTGAAAGATCGATATAACGTACGGAATGTTAAAGGAAGAGAAAAAATATTGTAATAATTCATAATTTTTACATTATATTTTAAATTTATAACGTCATTTTTATTAACGAGGCGTTTATTGGTTGTTAAGAATNGCAGATAATGTAATAATAAAAATTAAATATATATTTTCAAAAATATTTTATTTAAAAGAGTAGAAATGATGTCAGGTAATGACATAAATGAGCCAATTGGACATCATAAATCTTTTTCATATTAGAGTCTTATCTGTTAGTTAGTAATAGCATCACGCAATATTCGTAAATGTTAAAGAGGTGACGTTTTGACAATAAAATTCTTCGTCCTTCTTCAAAAACTAATCTCTTTAGAATAAATCCTAGAGAAATTGTTAAATTCTCATTATCTCTTGATCTATAGTGTTTTATAATTTGTGATAAGAATTTAACTATTGTTTTTCTTCTATCTCTTCATACGTGTTTCTGATATTTTGATGGTAATGAAGCTATAAATAGGAGACGTGGAGAGTATAAGAATGCGCCATTTCATTCTCACTTCGTGGCTGAGTCGATAAAAATAACTGTTTTTGTTTATTCTTAATCTAAAACGAAAGAATATGCTTGTTTTTTTTACTAACATTGCATTTTTTTTTATTTTTTCAAGAGCTTATATCTTTTCAAATTATCGCGTAAAATTTTTGTATTATGGAAAAAGAAATTATTGTAAAAAATGACATCTTCATCGTTTTAGAAGAATTTTTCGTACATTTCAAAAACGTTTAATCTATTCATATTACAAAGAAATAAATAAATTTGTCTCGCTCTCTCCCTTTTTCTATCTGCAACTTTCAATGGATAAATTTGCTTTTGTGGTGTAAAACCATTTATATTCGGTAATAATACATTTGTATATACATAGATGTATAGGCCTATATCTTTTCCCAGAAGAGATCAGAAATCTAAAATGGAGCAGGAGGAAGAGAAGAAGAGGAGGAGGAGGAGGAGGAAAAAAACGCTATCCCGTTTCCCATTACATTTTACGATAGCCTCCAGGTCAAATGGTTAGAAAATATACAAAAATTCTATTTTAAGATTGGATCTAAAATCGGAGGAAATTTAACAGATAAAATGTAGCCAAATCCTTTATTCCTTCTGGGAATGAACGAGGTCTCTAGGCAACTGTTTGCAAATTACCTACAGTTGAAAACCATCACGTTCATATCAACTTTGGAGAGGGAGTCGAGTTGGTGGGGCTTTTGTTCGTGTTTGCTGCTTCCACTACCCGTACTGTTAATTTCCGGTGTGGAGAAACCATCCTGTTCAGGAGGTAAGCTGTTTGTGGTCTAAATATCTACTTTTACCCTTTGCTGATAGTGGTTGATAGAAAACGACGTTGTCGATTGTGACGCATGAATGAATCCTGATTGAAGGAAAGAAGATAGAAAAAAAAGAAAAAAAAAAAAGATAATTCACTTTGTGGTAAAACTGGAATTCTGTATGATTGACAGCTGTTACGAGTAAAATAACTGGATGCTGCCGAGAACCATAGCAATCTAATTACTGCCTGGAAGTAAAGAAAGTCTTGTCTGTTCTGGATGAAGAAAGTACGCGATAAAGTGATTTTCGCGTTCTTTTGTTAGTGCCATTGAACCAAATAACAAGTTGAACTAGAATGCTCGTTACTACAACTTTGGGTCACATGGGGTAAACTTTTGGACAACTGGAAACCAAGTGATGCAATAATGGAATAAATAGCCTTAGGTTAAAGTAATTGTTCAATTTTTCTTCTAACACGCAATTAAATTTTTATAAATTTCTCAACAAACTTTTAAAGAATTTCACTTCAGTTTTATCTCGTTAAAAATATCCATCTTATTAAAATAAAACATTAATAAAATTACTAAAAACAATGACACTACTTTAAAAAACTGTATACTGTACTTAATTTATACTAAGTAATTTTTTTCTGCAGTTTAATATATTACAATTTCATTATCTTAAATAATTTATTTAAAAGCAAAATTAAATTAAGAGCATTTATTTATTTTTTTAAAAATTTTATTTATAGACAGAAAAAAATGATAAATTTATACTGTAATTAATTCAGTATTAAATTTCGAGAATCTTTTTAACCTTTCTTATATAATTTTTTCTATTACTCTATTGTTTATACATGAATATATTTAATGTAAGTTTAATGAAAATTTTATAATGAAGTATCATCTTTCAAAAATTACAAAGAAAGTAAGAACAAAATGTTTCTTAGAAGAATATTCAATTGCATTACCCCGTATTTATAAAGAGAAATAATTAACTAAATAATGACAATAATTAAAAGGTATCATAATATTATATTAAAGTTTTTTTGGTTAAAATATTAAATTTTTATATTTAAAAAAATATCATTTTATACAAATAAAGTAAAAATTACTCATTTTTTTACTAATGGATACAGGAATATAGTAATAAATAGCAAAGGAAAACAGCATTGAATCAAGTAAAGTTAGTTGTACATGTTGCAAAATGAATTACTCAACCTGTTTAGTTTGTCAAATAAATTGTTTAAAAATAAAAGAAAGGGATAAAACTTCTACATACTTTCTTTTTCTATTTTTCAAAAGTTTCTTGTCACATCTATATATATTTTTTCTTGTAGAAAAAAAGGGGTAAAATAAATATATCACACTAAAACAAAGCAAAATTTGTTAAACAACAGATAAATTATCGATCTACTGTTTTCTGCAAGATGTCTAGAAAAAACAAACGGGAAAAAAAAGGAAAAAACTACAGAAAGCAGCTGCCTATGACGTATACTAACTCTAAAATGCAGCATAAATTTAATATTTTTAAAGGTTAACACAACCCACAGGACTACTGCACTTTAGCAAATTTTCTTAGAATATAACCTTTGAAAATTTTGAAACTTTTCTTAATTTCTTTATTAATATACAACTAAATAATATGGAAAATAGTTATTTATATACATTTAAATAATTCATAAATCAGATATGCATTGTTACGATATAATTATAATGGAAATTAGCTAATTAACATTAATATAAATATACTTAGAAGTTATTTCTTCACACTTTATGAGTATTATTTATGTATACTTTAGCCATGAGCAATTATCTTTATGCATCTTTTCNGTAAATTTAACAGTTTTAATAACTTATTTAAAGTCCAGTAGCTAATAAAATGTTTTAATCAATATAAATTTAATCGTGTTTAAGAAGTAATTAAATTAATTTAAATGCGATTAATTATAGTCGAGTTAAAAATTGTTATCTAAACTCGCGTAAAATAATATGATATTAACTTTGCAAGTAAAACGCGAAAAAAAATAATAATAAATAAATTAAGAAAATTAAAATAATTTATAAATTAAATCGATAATTAAATTTGCTTTTAAAACTAAAATCGCGGTTATAAAATAACTGTCTACGTCATGGATAAATTTAAAACTGTCATTTCTTCCGAGAGTAGTTACGATAAAGATCTCATCGGATAGGAATAAAAATTAAGTTAATCAGCTAGTCATTTTACATTAGCTTAGTTAGTGGTCCATGATATTGCATTTGATTATTAAGATGCTGTTTGCGTGACACTGAAGGATCACATTGAACAAAATTAGAACGTCTCTCCTCTGTATCTTTATTGATGTCGGTTGCCTGTTTCATGTACAAGGCAGCAAATGACTAGTGCAATTATTACAGCATAAAATAATTACCATTATAATTTGACCTCGTGAGACTTTAATTTTCTACCGGAAAGATAGTTTTCTTCGACTACTCCAAGTGGGTGTGGCGACATATTTCAAGACGATCCGCTGTAAAAAAAAAAGTGACAAACGAGGACAATGCACTCACCCATTGTGGTAATAAGTTCATTTTGTATTCCCCTATAGCTGTGCCAGTTTTCCATGCTCTTGTCGGAGGAAAAGTGGAACTACCGTGTGACCTGAATTCAACATCACTAGAAGACGACATATCGTTGATACTATGGTACAGGGGTGAATCAGGTAATCGTCCTATATATACCATCGATGCGAGGGAAACATTTCTCAACGAAGCCAGACATTTCCCAAGAGAAGATTATCAAAAAAGATCCCACTACAATTCTTCTGTATCTCCATCTATCTTGAGAATTGAATACCTGAGGAAGGAAGATGAAGGGCAATATAAGTGCAGAGTGGAGTACAGGCGAGCCAGAACAGAAACACAAGATGTTCTATTAAAAATCACTGGTAATGTTCTTCTTTTCCCTCAATAGCATATTTAGGAAGTCTAATATACTGATTTTAGCATCTCTTTACGTGTCTGAATTACAGGAGTAGTAGATTAGATTTCAAATAAATCTACAATTCATTTTTCCATTATTTCAGTCAATTATGTAGGTAAATTTTAAGAAAAATGTTTTAAAATTTTAATATTTATTTATTTATTTAACTAATTAAATAAAACAAATTTTAATTGAGATAAATTTGAATGTTTATATTATGAAAAGATCAAGAGCAATATAAAGTAAGGGGATTGTTATAAATATTGATTAAAAAATATATAAGTTTTGATGAGATAATTACTTTTTAACGAAAGGAAAAAATTACTATTTTTAATATAAAGAAGTGGGGTCGAAAATGCTGAGATTTTTTCAGTTTGGTTGGTTAAGTAGTAAAATGGCATAATTACGAAGTTGGCAATGATAATTATAACTGGAAGAGAATAAAGGAAATTCGTTGGGATTTTTTTTTAGAAAAAATCAAAAATTCTTTTTGAGAATGCGATTTTGTAAAGTATTGTGGAAGAGATGAATCACGATCTTTTCAGAAGTTATGTCGTCATAAAGAACATCTTACCCATTAGATGCATTGTAAGTCGTGCACATCGTCACTGTGAGATTTAGCACGCTCCAACAATTTCTCTTCATTTCTATCCAAGTAACTATCGCAATCTTCTTACGTCACCTTATTGTCTTCTTGACTACCTAAAGTGATCTGCCTTTCAGCACTTCTTCAGTTTTGTAAATTTACTCTCCAATTTCTTATTCTCATCTTTCTTTTAACACTGTGAAATCCATTAAAAACCATCTTTAATTCAGATAAGTATAGACGTACGAGGAAATTATTTAATAAGCAATACAGAACATTTCTTAAACATTATGATGGATCGTTTAATATGCTTTCTTTGCATGTTTAAAGCTCGCTAAATTTTAATGTATTAGAAAGCGCTATCTGCTTTTCCTTTTATAGTATTATTTAGCTATTATTTTTCATATCTTCTGCAATTTTTTTAGAGATTTCATAATATATCATGAACACTTTCGTGTAAATTCTACATTTGCATAGCTAGGAACAGCTTATAACGCCCAAAAAGTATCGAATAAATTTTATTTTATTATTTTCGCTCTTAAGTAAATCGCTTGAATGGTTTTAAATTTTTTAAGCATTATGCATTTTATAAAGGTGAGATTATTCATGAGTTATATTTACTTACATATGAAAGTGTATAAGATGAAGTTTTCAAGGAAAAACTCTCTTCTATTAAAAGGATGACGAGATCCTTAATATAGAGATAAAATACCTCTTCGCTAGCAAAATAGCAGATGCATTAAGATACAATCTTCTTCATGGTATTTTGATGTTTGGATGTGGATGTTATATAAATAAATTAGTATATATTAAATTCAGAAGTCATTAATTGTAAATGATATAAAGTTTCATACTAATCTTGTAAATTTAGTTATCATACTGATAACAATGATAAAGGTTTAGTTTTAACTTGTTTTAAAATTAATTTTGAAATATCTTTACTAATTGCAATATTATTCTAAATCCTTGTAAAGATTTTAAGCTGACTAAACTACTGTTTCCAAGTTACAAATAATCATACAACCACTTGCTCATCCAATTAGTTTAATTTCCTGTTGCAATCTGTGATAGTTACATCAACGAAAATTTATAAAATTCAATTTGAATTAGAAAACTTTAATAATAATTTGTTAACACTTCCAAAACATTAATATAAATATACTTAGAAGTTATTTCTTCACACTTTATGAGTATTATTTATGTATACTTTAGCCATGAGCAATTATCTTTATGCATCTTTTCTTGNCTTAATATAGAGATAAAATACCTCTTCGCTAGCAAAATAGCAGATGCATTAAGATACAATCTTCTTCATGGTATTTTGATGTTTGGATGTGGATGCTTATCATTCACGTACAAAAACTAAATGAGCTTGTGCTGAATAACATTTTTTCCCATATCTAAGATATATTTTTATATATAAAAAAAAACTTTACTAATCTACAGAATATCACTTTACATTTAAAAAAATCATAATAATAAAAAAAATATTACAGATATTATATTTATATATTAAAGCAATTTTATTCGAAGAATAAAGTTAGTTTGCATTTATTAAACTTTCCATCATACAGCATTTAAAAAAAAAAAACTTGCATTATGTTTTGTAATTTAAGCATTTGTGACTTTAAAACATTTAAGAAATTTCAAGTTTCATAATATATGAGAAAGTTTTATATAGCTGTAATAAATTATAAGAATTTACTGCACTTGATACTTTGAAAAATCGATATTCAGATTGTTTATTGCTGCCATATTGATCTCAGTTCGATTATATAGTTAGTCAAATCAATCTTAGAAACTATACTACATACCGAAAATAAAATATATTAAGTAGATATTGTTTTACAATATATTTTATTTATATCTCATGCACTTTACGAATAGTTTTATTACACTAATATACTGATAATTAGCGTAAACCGCTATAATTTACGCTTATTATACTGAATTTCTATTACCATTGTTAGTATAACGAGATAAGACATTATTATGATTAATGGAATTATTAAGTAAAGTGAAATTATTGTTTAATATATTAATTTTGAAAACTAATTCGAATAATTCTAAATATTTCAATTATTATAATCAACAAACAANTTCCAAAACATTAATATAAATATACTTAGAAGTTATTTCTTCACACTTTATGAGTATTATTTATGTATACTTTAGCCATGAGCAATTATCTTTATGCATCTTTTCTTGTAAGGAATGAATGCATCTATTAGATTTTACGTATAAAGTAAATAAGTCTCAGCTTAAGGCCTCGCGTTCTGAGTATATAATTTGGGGCCTCATATTTCTACATTTATTATTATTTGATGGAGAGAAAGGGCCTGTTATGTGTTATAGAAATTGGCTACAACAAGTCTAATTCCAGTACTGCATCTACGCAAATTATGTTATAAAATTTAATGGAGTTATATTAAAGTTTTAATAGCTCACATTAACAAAATAATTTTTTTATACGTAGCAGATAATGTAATAATAAAAATTAAATATATATTTTCAAAAATATTTTATTTAAAAGAGTAGAAATGATGTCAGGTAATGACATAAATGAGCCAATTGGACATCANAAAGCAAAATTAAATTAAGAGCATTTATTTATTTTTGTTTCTAGAAAAGGTCATTGTTTCTGGTGGATTGTGTTTACTGCTATTATTTTCTATGTCATTTTTAACTTTTTCAAATATCTTATAAAATAATAACGAATTGAGTATAGTTCCATTTAAACTGACTCGAAACTGTTTTTTTTTTTGTTTTATTTTTTGCAGATTTATATAAAAAATTGATACTATATTGTTTCAGGTTTGCAATTGATTTTTCAGATGACAACTGGATAACATTTTTTTTCTTCTATTTATGAAATTTTTTTTTGTCTTCTCTTTCTGAAAAACCAGATCAAACTTTTGAGTCCAAGTTAAGCCAAATGTTCGGAAATTTATGCAAATCAATTTTATTCATTTACATATTCTTGTAGCAAATTTAGTGAAAAATATTTGGTATATATTCTGCTTTGGTTTAACATTCTGTCAAGAAAAATCGTTACTAATAACATTTCAGGGGAAAATCTTTATTCTTTTTTTAATTGATTATTATGCTTTAGAGACTTTGAGAATTTTATAAATAATTTTTGTAGCATTTTCACTTGAAGTTATTTTATATGTGTTCCCTTTTTTTTATGCAGTTAAATTCAGTTATCTTTATAATAAACGATCTATCTTCGACTTAGTTTTTTTTCTTATTTTTTTTAATGTGTAAAAATGTTTCCACTTATTGAATATTTTTTATATAATATTTTATAGTCATATATTCTTCTAAGTATTGTTTTGTGTTACTAAATACAGTTAACATTTATCTTCTTTCGTGTTATCGAACTCAAACAAGCTACTTAAAACATGCACACTAAACAATTTGATTTCTACGTTTGTAAGCATACTAACGAGGAAACTAAGTATACATTATTTATATGATTAAAAAAAATAAAATAAAATATTAAAATTTCTCGAGTCTCAAGTTTTATTATATGATAGTAGATTAAAAATATATACTTTAAAAATAATTAAGATTTTTTTATTGTTATTAATTATGCGTTATATAAAATTATAGACTGTCTTTAATGTATACAGAAATGTAAATTTATAGAAAATATTAAAGTTTATATTAACATATTTGTGCAAAATATAAAAAATTAACTTTTATTAAAGGATTTCTTTACAAAAAAATATATATAATTTCAAAAATAAATGAGTAATTTTAGGTAATTCTATACAGTGGAAGATAGTTGTAATTTTAAAAAAATTATTAGTAATTTATATTATTAATTTAATTATAATTCTTAAATGTTGCGTTAAATATTTACTTAAGCACTTTTGTTAGCTATTTAAAAACTGATCGTAATAGGCATTTATTAATTTTTATTTCTTGGTCGTTAATTATTATATCATATTATTCTTTACAGTTTTTCCTTCATATTTGAAAGAGAAATCAAGATTGACAATATTTTAATAAAGATTAAGACTGTTTTAAATGCAATAAAAGTAACTTTATTTAAATAATTATGAATTTTAATTTTTCCACAATTCTAATTTAAATTTTCTATGAATAAAAATGTAAAATAATAATTTATATTCACAATTTTTCTCATTCAAATTATTTTATTCGAAAATTTTAATTCAGTAATCAAATCAAAAGAAGAATATTATGTTTTAAAAGNTTTACTCATTAATGGAATAGTGGAAGTGGCAGACAACCAATTGCCTTTGGCACCTGGGTGCTTCGGAACGGGTTTCGAATGGCAGACGTCTGTAACAGCCAGCAACATTTAATGGAAGTAGGAACAATGCTTACAGTTAAAATAGTTTTCAGTGGAG